ACTAGAGAGGCTACGGCAATACTATTGGTTTCCGAAAATGAGACGATTTGTCAAGAAATAAATTGAATCCTGCCTGAACTGTCTGTATCATGAATCAACTGGTGAAACAATACCTGGACTTTTACACTGTATACCTAAATAAGCTGCACTCTTTTATACTCTTCATGCGGACAATTTAGGACAATTGGTGGAATCACAGGCGAACAAAAGTTACCAGATACCAAAACCGTCCACGTAATCAAGGCATTTGACCAGCTCGTAAACCATTTTGGGAATCCTAGAAGGATGATTTGTGATGCTGGCAAAGTATTTACCTCTAAACAGTTCATCAACTATTGCGAGCAGAACAGTATAAAACTATTCAACATAACAGTTGGTATGCCGAGGAGTAATGGTCAAGTTGCAAGAGCAAACAAGGTTATTCTCTAGCGACTACAGGTGCCAACACTACCGATGACAACTGGGAAGAAAAGTTGAATGCCAATCAAAGGGTGTCAACAGCACTCACCACAAAATCACCTCTGCTACCCCCGCTGAACTTCTTCTTGGCATAAGGCTCAGAACGGATGGAGATCGCTACAATATGGAAGATGGTGACATTTCAGATGTGTCAGACCTGAGACGTAAAGCAAGTGAGGGATTGAAAGAAAACATATGTTATCAAAAACACTATCTCCATCGAAAGAGACGGGTCTCAGTTCCAGAATTTCCAGCCTTCCATCCGACGATGGTCAAAGTAAGAAGATATTAGCTGAATACAAGGGACCATTCAAACTAATTGAGGTGTTACCTAATGATCGCTGCAGAGTTAAATAAGAGGCTGTAGTTTGCTTGGAATATATGCAACCTTTCAAAATAAGATCTTGAATGGTGAGTGGACCATACTATAGGGGTTGGAAGATTGCCCGTTTGCTGGCAGCGTTGGGAGATTACTCCTTTACTGGCAGGGGTTGGGAGGTTGCCGTTTCTGGCAGTGGTGGGAGATTGCCCGTTTGCTAGCATGGGTTGGGTGGTTTACCCGTTTGCTAGCAGGGGCCTAGAGAGTGTGCGAAGCAGGAAATATTAGTGATCCTAATTTAGTCCGCATTCTTCAGACTGATGTTGCGTTCGGGGACGATCGCAAAATCCAGGGTGGCCGAGTGTTGCACCACATCTACAAGAAGTCTGCGCCCTGTTTATGAGATGAATATCCACACTGACTCACGTCGAGTCATACGATTATGCAAGGATACAATCATCGGGGAAAGGAGGTGGATGGTTGTCAGTTGGTCAGTCTTTGCGATAGTACGGTGGTATTTCTCAATATAGTGTGCTTAGTTACAACTGAGTTTCATTACCTTACACACATCAACTTATGCCAATTTTGAAAAAATAATTCAAATGTCTGTATACATACAGCCCTTGAAGTTTTATCTTTCCCACCGCATATAATACCTCGATTCCCATGGCAACATAAAATTCTGTGGTCTGTCTTATCACCATGTCTGTGAAACAGTCGTCATCACCTCATGTCGGTTGTGAACTTGTATTATATATTATTCTAGCAAATATACATTTGCAAATCTTTTCGTGCAATAACGTCACATGTTCATTTTTCGTTATGCACTCAATCATTATGCATGAAGAAGGCCATTTCCTAGAATGAAATTTATTCCTCTCATTCACCTGTCATAATGGAAATGAGACATAATTTCTATCAATGTGTTTTCTATATTCAATTTCCTTCAGTAGTTACTAATATATGATGTGATTCAGACTACATCATGAGCTTCTTTATATCTCATCGTACAACTCATTTCTAAAGAACATTGTATACCGAGTTGTATACCTTCCATCTCTATACTTTTGGGGGAAAATCTGAACAAATCATAATCGTCAGTAGGTAATTATTATCTATCGGTATTCAAAATGATACGTTGTATATACATACTGATGGAACAATAATATAAGCATTTTTACTTGACGACGCCACTTTAGAATAGTATATCTATACACATTTTGATTTCGCAATGATGATAAGCGAATTAATACAAATGATTTCATATTCTGAGTTCTGAGAGTATATATATGCATATGAGACTTTAAAGATAGATGGGTACCCTCATCTGATCATGCATCTGGAGTTAATTCCAAATCAAAGGAACGAAAAGCTTCAGACATATAGACTGCCATCAGTCTCCACTGGATAATCGGAACAGAATTAGAACTGAAATTCATTAGGCGTCCAACTTTCAATTGTGAACGTTTTGCTCTCCATGGCTGCGATGTTGCCAAATGCCATCCTTCCTCAAGAATATGCAACGATTCAGTAAACAATCTGAATAACTTTTTTTCAATCCCCTTTCCAAGATAGCAGAATCAAATACTGTATGCATGTTGATCGAGGAGTGACAGTTTGGGGCAAATCATCTGATTATCTCGCAGTGAGTAACAAAAACCTTTGACTGTACTATACATAAAGACTTGTAGAAATGCTTTTGTTTTGCCTTGGCGTTCTGATCTGATGACAGGCAGCTCAACAGGCAGTAGGTATATAATGGAATAATCAAGTGCCTTTTCTACTTATAACTGGTTCGAATATTACTCCTTTGTGCTTCGATACACTGTTGATAATCCATCAGTAGCTATTTATTAGAGAGGAATAGATTCTCCAAGTTTCATGAATCCTTCATTGATATTTATTCACTCTAAAAATATCTGAATATCGTGATATTGACGTATTCGATTTGGGAGAGATATGATAATGCATTGAAATTATAATATCTGATACCTACATAATCAAATTCAAGAAATCTAGACCCACGGTATAGAGTATACTGATTCCAATAATCTTCTTATACGGTGTAGGTATTGCTGAAGCGCCATTAGGAAGCTTGACGGAAGTATAAATATCACAATTCTACCTCTGAAGCTTAAACACATTATGTGTAACTATCGAGGTATTGATAATATACTGATGATCACTGGTTCTTCACAACCTCGCAGTCGAGCTCGCAGTGTTTGCAGACTCTATAGGTATACTAAAAGAGGGCTGAACTTCTTGAATAGCAATCTTGTAATGTACCTTGAGATATAGGTTCATATACACATTTCATAGAATATTAGGGCTATTGTGTGTATTGACTTCGAATGTTTGGCATCTGTCCGTGCTTTTGCATTTGAGATATAGTCCCAGATAAATATTCCAAACAAATAGGTAGGTAGTATACAAGTGTCATGCATTGCATTTGCATTGCCGGGGCATTATAGAATGGCATGCAGTGAAATGGTATCGTTATACTTACTTGTTATGTTAGTAGAAATCCAGACATGTAAATATTTGTTTAGAATTCGTTGTATCATGAGTTTGTAGATATATTTATTCAAATTTCTCTTGATAGTCTTGCACTGCAACAGCTACTCCATGAGTAGGTACTACAGGTCCCTATATTTAGTTTCAAGTTATACCTAAACCTATTCGTTATTTCATATATCTACAGAAATCGAACACTGAGTTACTTGTTTCCAAAGAATACATCAAGAACAAGCTGCCCCATTCTACTCACTAATAAAATGTACCTATATAACTTGATCAACATATTCGTTCTGGTTCTACAACTGAAAATCCACTGTAGAATCATCTCCCCTCGATAAAGGTCCGTGAATTTCCTCAGTGAACGTAACATCCACCGATTCCCTTGGTAACATTTTTTAGTTTGCACCCCTTCGTGAATAAACAGAGCGCGAGAAACACAGCAACAGTCCAGAGTGAGACAACAGTGGAAAACCGAGCACCGAGAAATACCCTAAGCCCTCTGCTATGCATCAGATTCTACCGAGGATACTACAGAAATTCGAAAGCGAGCGAGAGAGAGAAAGAGCAGCTGGAAGAGAGATAGCCAATAACAGCTTTTATAGACGTGAAAGATGCATTCGTTTTTCTTCGTGTGGGAGTAGGACGGAGATAACAACAGAGCCGATATAGAGACCAACCTATCATTTAAGTGAGATACACTCTGTCATTACAAAACGTAAAAAAGACTCTGGACTCGACGTTGTCTGAACGAGAATGGCATAATGAACATAATAAGTCGAACAAAGAAACAGTGTAGCTTAAAATAATGTTCGCGTGACATGATATGGATTATTTAAGTAAATGAATTATAAGTACAGCTGTTTCTTGCATTTCGTTTGTTTGTTTATTCAGTAACTTATCGTTACTGACTTTTCTTTTCATGTAGAGCTGTGTACTTGTATTGGTGATACTAAACAAGCTCTGCAATTAAACATCCTGAGGTCATTCACGTGGTAGAGGTACCCAGTTCATTTATAACTTTCCGCATTTTCACACAACAAAATTATTTCTGCTTAATAACACACATCAACATGAGCATCAAAGTTTTCGCATCATACGATACCTACTAGTTACTTTTTGAATTGTTTGTAGGTATCCGTAAACATAATTATGTTATTTACTATTTATGCTTATCGACTTATCTGTAACTGTAATGGGGCCTAAGTTCCTTCACCTCCATACTCCATACCATACCTATCTATTAATGACCACTTTGCCTTTCCTTCCAGCTGGTTTCAATTATTTATTCATGGCAATAGTTTATTTCAAGGTTATATATTTTTCTATTCTGTATATAATATTCTATTTATCGCGACCTCAGTTCTCTGGATTGCGATTAATACAAATTCCAACCACATAGACATAATTATTATATATCGGTATACTCATTAAAACAGATAAGCGAGGAGGATATGATCACCTCAATGTAGGTACTTACCAGTCCTCTGAATGTACTTAATTTCATAATTATTGAAATTGATTGGCATGGTGAATTTAGAATACCTTAAAACTATTAAGTAGTTCGGCAAGCATAAAATCAATAGCAAGCAAAATTGACGCAAACATGCAAAAGTACAAATAATTCGAACAACTATATATCTAATGACCCTGTTTTTAATGTGGAAGTAACGTTAAAACAGTGCATTGACATTAAAAATCACGTTACCTCTAGCTTGCGCATTCAACTGTCACGAGCAGTCGGTCCACAGCACATTGCGTTAAAGCCCTCTTCGACATGGCAACGTGGGTCACCGATCCGCGTTCTACCGGCAACGCCGCTTCGCCTACATAGAAAGATATAAATTGTATGTTGAAATATTTCCCGATACACCGCTCGTTTTAACCAAGAAAGCGTGCTCTGATTTTCTCGAAACTTTCACAGTAGATGGTCCGAACGACGACGTATACAACACCACTTTTGAAATTTGGAAATATCTATATTTTAAGGTACTTAGGGCGATTACAGCAGCGACGTGTTAGCGCGATAAGGAATTTAAGTACACTAGAGAAGCTTGTTTTAGCCCGCTAGTCTTCGACCCGCCTGACGTTGGCTCCGCCCCTATCCAATCGTGCCGTGGTATTGCTATTGACGTCAGCCGAAGCTGAACGAGGTTTCACGATCCTCAGCGTGTGTAGCATAGGGAAGCGTGCATTCCATTTTGTTATGAGGCGCTGTTAGTATTTTGTTTTCTGGATTTATTTTTGGAAATTGCGGCATCGGCATCGCTGTGTTTGTTGCTAGGCGGCCGGTGACCATGGGCAGATTCGTTCATTTTAGGTTTAGGTGTAATTCGCAGTGGGGAGACGCTATTGTGTTACCCAGCGTTTATGGGTGTAATAAAGATTGTATCGTAAATGTAAGGGGTAGCTACCATGATGATCATGTAATTTTATGGAGGTACCCACCATGATCATGGAAGACCATTTTGAAATTGGTGAATACTGATTGTTAAGTTCAGTCAAGAAACTTTATAGAATTGATAACTCATCGATGGTGTTTATTATAAAAGAATGTTGATGAAGTTGAGTGTCTTAGTGGAATATCTATGGTGGAATGGATAAGTAGGTACCTATGGGTAGTTGAAATAGGCTGTGGTATAGGAATTTGTATTGTCTCTTTATGACTCAATGACATGGTGAGTTGCTACCTAGGTATAGTCTTTTCAAAGTCAGTTGTAGTGCCTCTTGCAAGGAATGTTATAGCCACTTGCAACCGATCTATCAGAACTTAAAACCAAGCGGGGTGCGCGGCGTATAGGTAGGTATGTTTTTGCTAAAGCTGCTTCAATTCACTTCGGAAAGATTTTGCCCACCAATAAGTTGTAGCAATTCAAGCTGAGATTCTTACGAATTTTCTTCGTTCACGCATACATAGTACCTATATTTGTGCCTATACCAAGTCAACAACATTACTTCCATCTAGGTACTTCCAATCTCATGTCATTGGAATTATTATGGTACAATGCAATAACCATTGAGCTATATGTATCTAGCCGGTCATGTAGTGGCGGTTTTTTAATCAAATTCGATTTGGCGAATACTAGAGGCCTTCTGAATTTTTTTTTTTTTCAGGAGGAGTATTGTTCCTCACATCCGATTCTTCGCTTCAGAACTTTCAGATCTTCGTGCGAAAGGACGAATAAAATTGAATAATTTCTCTCTAGTTTCATTCGCATCATGCTTCTCTCCATCATATCTCAACATAAATACACTGTCGGCTTCTAAAGTGCGTGCTTGCAGTTTGAAAAACGCTGCAGATGCGCATGCGTCCTGGCGATAGTTTCGCGCCGATGCGCGGTGTTTCTCACCGATTGCATTGGATCAAGGATGAATTTAGTCATCAGTGAATCCGTCCTTGTTTTTGCCAATACTAATTGTTTATATCCATTCCAAATGTGTGATTGACTGGAGTTTGGAGATTTCATTCCTCTCGTTAAGTCAACAGAGAGATCTATGCAATTGGCTATAAGAAGACCGGTTGCACAAATCTCCTCGTTATTTCAACAAGGATCCTCGTTATTTCAACAAGGATCGAGGTATCAACTCTCCTAAGTCCTATATATAACTCGTCTGCTATGGCGTACGTTGTGTTCACTGAGGAAACTCGGCCAAGGAAATCGTTTTCTTGAGAAAAAGTCGATTGTGACAAGAACAGATTCACCAACGGTAGGAAAATAAGGTACTTGAAGTAGACAAAACAATATTTCTGAAACATTGTTTCTCCTGTAAGTGATCTGGACACTTGTTGGTATTAACCAAATCGATATGTATTTTGAGGTCACAAATTACTATAGGTGAACACTAAACTAGTGCTAGGTTAATGAATACCATTATTGAATTATTATTCTGAGACAAAATCACTTGCTCCGAGCGAACTCACCGATGACACAGTCTATCAAGTCGATTGGTGCAAGTGACAGCTAACCTGTGGTTATACATCTCTTCTTCGTCCGGACATCTCCAATATATTATTCGAGTGCCCACGCCCAACGCTACCACTTCCACTGTCCACGGCTTCATTATGATCTTTGCATTTGTGAAGTATACATGCGTTCTTGCTAGTACAATTGAAATTCCAAGTCATGCAAGTGTCCTTCTGAACAAGTGCTATATCATTTTCGTGAAGCTCCTCAGTTTGTGTGCCGTGGGGTGTTGAGTTCTTGATGATCTGTTATTCTTCTGAAGAAGATAATGTAATACATAACTCGCCCAGAACAGAACATGCTGATTGTTGACATCAAATACAGGATTCTTTACTACTTCCGACGATACTCGATATGGGAGAAAGTGACGTTTGATGATTATGGGAGTTAATTTAAATTCCACTCTTTCATCTTCATCACTGAAGAAAAAACAGAGCGTACCAGTGCATCTGATGGACCGTTTTTCTCGGCACATGATCCTGATATTCCTGTTATCTAGTGGCTCAATATTTGTCGCCAGCCTCACCTATTCGTGATTTCTTGATGGTTGATCATAGCTATTCAATGAATGTTTTAAATGCACGAGTTTTTTTACCAAGGTTATCATTTTTCAGAGAACAATATATGCAATTTTTCATAGTAGGTACCTAGATAATGACAGGTAAAAAAGTCAATGTTGTCAATGACAAGAGGATAAGTCACTGATGACAAGTTAACTAGTCACTTATGACATGTGATTAGGTCACTAATACCAAGTGAACAAGTCACTAATGACAAATGAACTGATAATAAGTGGATAAGTCACTAATAACATGTGCTGTATTCAGTAATGTTTATCAATCTGGAATTTAATGGAACAGGTTAATAGTGGTATATTTTAAGGGACACAAATATTCTTGTGGCTATCAACTTATTTCATTGTCCCAAATAGTATACAAGTTTTTACTTGCCGCTATTGAATATTCACTTAGGTTTAGTGATTTCTTCCTCTCCGTGTTGTTATTATGTTATTATCAGGTGGTATGTCCAATGTCCATGTATGTCTACGTGTGCGAACTCAATGCGAAAGCGAAGCGACGCGACGCGAATACGTCAAATCCCGAAAAATTTGGAAGAGTCCCATGTGAACGAATGCACGCGACAAGCGACGAACACGCGGCAACAGGTGGCATGTTATTAATGTCGAATATGGAATTTTTCATTAGTACTATACGAATCATCGATCGATGTTTCTTCAGGAATTTGTATTTGAGTTATGAGATTTCAAGTCGAAAATTCATACCTCCTGTCATTACGGAAAGACGAATTCGCGAATGCGAGTATGGCGCAAAGTACGTAGAACAGCACAGTCGCATCGCATTTTTTCGCTTGGCATCGCCTCAAAATCGCGTCGCTTCGCGTTCGCATAGAGTTGCCCACGTAGTACACCACGTCATTGTCAATATTATCACAATCGTCTTTCAGATGCTGTTCGTAACCGACCTTAGTTATACTTCCATACAGTCTTCATGTAACTGCTTGATCTGCAGCCATAATGTCGAATGTACAATTCAGAGAATTCTTGATCAAAACTCCAACAAGGGTCGTTGAACATATCATTATTTCTGGTAATGATGAAACCACGTCGATGTTCGAATCGCTCAATGAAGACAAAACCCGAAATTTCAGTTAAATTATTTGGAAAGAAGGTTTCTTATTTTATTGCCGAATGCGGATATTCTCCTTCCTGGAGTAATAAAAGTAATTATTTTTCGTTATGATCCAACTCTTTATCGATATTCCCTTTTATGTATTGTATGTAGAATGAGAATGATGTGTAGTAAATAAGTATTCTATGTTTCAGAATCAAGCTATTACTATCGGGTGCCAGTCTCTATATAGAATACATGATATACCTACACCAGTTTGGAGTTTATCACCTCCCTCAGTGATTTTTGACTTCCGATGATGTTTTGGAAATACTGAATCCAAAAGAAAGATCGCGAGAGTCTGTTTCTGTTTATTGCGCCACTAAGACCGGCTAAATTGACGTTAAGCACCGTGAAGCATTCCGAGTTCCGAGGGCACAGATTATTAAACCTAGGGCATAACTAGTATGGGAACGGTCAGATTTTGGTCGAATGAATAGAATATACTATACTGAATGCAAAACCGTCGGGCCTAAGGCCCCTTGCACAACAGCGGTGTATTTGCCGGGCGGTAATTCTATCGGCCGGCAGAAAAATTGGGTATGGTTTGCATACGGGAGACAATAAGTATAAGTAAGACCGTGGTGCACAAGGATCTTCGTAAGAGAATTGTGGCTGCGCACGCCTTGCACAGACATCGAAAATATAAAAAGGCACGAGCTAGGAAGTTCTGGATTCATCTAGTGATGGGCAGAATCGAGTATTTTCGAAAATCAAATACATGGTACTTGAATACTTCCAAGAATCGAATACTCCTCCGAGTACTCAGTATCCGAGTACAAAGAATAAACGACAACCTATTATAATGATACCAAACCAACTATTGATTCAAATACCGAATGCGCGGCTTGCTGGCTTTTATCAGTGAACTAGAACCTGTGTTACAACTGAACTGCGTTTCGCACTTTTGAAGTAGGTATATTCGTTTGAGTTTGCTCAACTTGCATATTTCCTATTGTCATCCCTGTTTTGTAGTATGCGATTAACAAAAATTACCACAGAAAAAAGCTTGTAATATGAAAACTCAACTTTAGCAGTTTAGAGGTAAGCAACAATACACAGTTTCGCGTAACGTTTCCATTCGGTCGTTCGGATTCGAATACTTTGAATAGACGAGGACGAGACGTCGAGACAAGATTAACGAGTCAATGAGTTCATTGGTTCGACTACAAACCACGTCACATGGTACTTCTATCGCAGTTGCGATAGTGGTAGCGGATGCGATTCGTGACTGCGAAACTGGCGAGTACAGGTAATCGAATTCTTCCGTAGAAATCGAATAAAACCGAGTACTTAAGAAAATCGAATACTTACCTATTGTTTGTACTTGAGTACCCCATCACTAGATACATCCATGAATGCAAAAACGAACAGCAGTGGGAGCATTTTACAC